CACTTTAATTATATTCCTCGAAATTGTGTATACATGTAGCCAAGAGTGTGCTTATAGCGTTAGCCTTTTGCCGTCAGAAAGTATTTTGACCCACTTTTGAGATACGGTGTCCGAAAAGTAGGTCAAAATAAAAAGTTCTCCAAATTTAAAGTTTGAGTTATGAATTAAGAATAGAATTTTCTCAGAAATCCGAATCTGCAAACTAAATTTCGATTCGACTTCCGGTTCCGAAGTTATGGCGTGTCCGAAAAGTAGGTCAAAATAAAAATTCGCCAAATTTAACGTATTAGTTATGAATTAGGGGTAGAATTTTGTCAGGAATCCGAATCTGCAAATTACATTTGACTACCGGTTCGGAAGTTATGGCGTTTTGAAATTTCAAGAAAAATCGATCTGATGGTATCCTGATAGAAAGTCAAGAGTAGAGAAGAAAATATTGAAAAATGCATCCATCCTTCCTTTCTGATCCTATCCTATCCTTCCTATCTACCCTTGCTTCGTATCCTCTCCTTCCTATCCTTCCTATTCTATCCCTTCTTCCTATTCTATTCTATCCTTCTTTCCTATTCTATCCTATCATTCCTTCCTATTCTATCCTATCCTTCCTTCCTTTTTCATTCATCCATCCATCCATTTTTTGATGGATGACTTAGCTTATTTTGGATGACTTGGCTTATTCTGGATGACTCGGCTAAAAAAAGTCTAGATCTGGAGTCTGAAATTGAACTCGTTCAATTTCCAAAATCTAGTTATTCTTTTTAGCATTTTTTCTCCAACTTCCAGCTAGCTTTGACTTATCTCATATATAATCTTATTAGGGACCTGGGCTGGACTTGTCGGGAAATTAGTTCATATCTAGGTCAAGGTCAAAGGTCAAAATCTAGGTCAAATCTAAGTTTTTTTCAAGTTTCTCAAATCCTGACACTACACTTCAATATTTTTGGCTGAATTTTTGCATACAGATAGATATTAGTATTCTATTAGTCTAAGCCTTTTGCCGTCTAGGAAAATTTTGCCTAGATTTTGAGATATTGAAGGTCAAAAAATGGTCAAAAAAGGTCTTTTTTCAACTTGCTTCAAATTGACCAAATTTTTTTTAAAACTCATCTACAAGTTCTCAGGATTCAAAATCTGACCTTACTTTTGACCTTTGGTTGACCTTCAGTGACCTCCGAAAGGTCAAAAAAGTTGATTTTTCAAATCGATTTTCTGGATTCAAATTTAGGAATATTTATTCACAAAAGACCTTCTGAGGTCTAAAAAAGTAAAATTTGCAAGGTCAAAGGTCAAGGTCATCAAACGAAATCACAAACTGTGTTTTCTAAGTTTCTCAAAATTGGAGACTACAAATCAATTTCTTTCACTGAAAGTCAGAAAATATATTCCTCTAAAGGTTCTACACATATTAGCAATTGACTATTTATTAAAATTTTGCTCCAGTTTTGAGATATTAGAACTCAAAAACTGAAAAAAGGTCCAATTTCGAAATTTTTCAAGGTCAAATTTCAACTTGCTCTAAATTGACCAAACTTTTTTTTAAAAAGCATCTACAAGATCTCAGGAACTCAAATCTGACCTTAGTTTTGACCTATGACCTTTAGTTGACCTTCAGTGACCTTCGAAAGGTCAAAAAGTTGATTTTTCAAATTGATTTTCTGGATTCAAATTTAGGTTAATTCAATCAGAAAAGATATGCTGAGGTCTAAAAAAGTAAAATTTTCAAGGTCAAAGTTCAAGGTCATCAAACAAGATCACAAACTGTGTTTTCTAAGTTTCTCGAAGTTTGTGACTACAAATCAATATTGTCCCATGAAAGACTGAATATATATTCATCTAAAGGTTCTACACATATTAGCAATTGATTATCTATTAAAATTTTGCACCAGTTTTGAGATATCAGAGCTCAAAAACTGAAAAAGGTCGAATTTCGAAAATTTTCAAGGTCAAATTTTAACTTGATCTAAATTGACCAAACTTTTTTTTAAAACTCATATACAAATTCTCAGGATTCCAAATCTGACCTTACTTTTGACCTTTGACCTTTTGTTGACCTTCAGTGACCTCCGAAAGGTCAAAAAAGTTGATTTTTCAAATCAATTTTCTGGATTCCAATTTAGGTGCATTTAATCACAAAAGACCCCAAGAGATCCAAAAAAGTAAAATTTGCAAGGTCAAAGGTCAAGGTCATTGAATTAAATCACAAACTGTGTTTTCCAAGTTTCTCAAAATTGGTGACTACAAATCAATATTTTTTGATGAAAGTCTGAAAATATATTCCTCTAAAGGTTCTACACATATTAGCAATTGATTATATTTTAAAATTTTGCACCAGTTTTAAGATATTAGAGCTCAAAAACTGAAAAAGGTCAAATTTCGAAAATTTTCAAGGTCAAATTTCAACTTGATCTAAATTGACCAAACTTTTTTTTAAAACTCATCTACAAGTTCTCAGGATTCCAAATCTTACCTTACTTTTGACCCTTTACCTTTTGTTGACCTTAAGTGACCTCCAAAAGGTCAAAAAAGTTGATTTTTCAAATCGATTTTCTGGATTCAAATTTAAGTGCATTTAATCACAAAAGACCCGAAGAGGTCGAAAAAAGTAAATTTTGCAAGGTCAAGGTCATTAAATTAAATCACAAACTGTGTTTTCCAAGTTTCTCAAAATTGGTTACTACAAATCAATATAGTTTAATGAAAGTCTAAATATATATTCCCCCACTTTTTCTTCACATATTAGCATTTGATTATCTATTAAAATTTTGCACCAGTTTTGAGATATAAGAGCTCAAAAACTGAAAAAGGTCAACATTTCGAAAATTTTCAAGGTCAAATTTCAACTTGATCTAAATTGACCAAACTTTTTTTAAAACTCATCTACAAGTTCTTAGGATTCCAAATCTTACCTTACTTTTGACCTTTTGTTGACCTTTGGTTGACCTTTAGTGACCTCCAAAAGGTCAAAAAGTTGATTTTTCAAATCGATTTTCTGAATTCAAATTCAGGTGTATTTAATCACAAAAGAGGTCCAAAAAAGTAAAATTTGCAAGGTCAAAGGTCAAGGTCATCAATCTAAATCACAAACTGTGTTTTCTAAGTTTCTCAAAATTGGAGACTACAAATCAATATTTTTTCATGAAAGTCAGGATATATATTCCTCTATAGGTTCTTCACATATTAGCAATTGACTATTTATTAAAATTGTGTACCAGTTTTGAGATATTGGAACTCAAAAACTGAAAAAAGGTCAAATTTCGAAACTTTTCAAGACTAAATTTTAACTTGCTTCAAATTGACCAATTTTTTTTAAACTCATATTCAAGTTCTCAGGATTCCAAATCTAACCTTACTTTTGACCTTTGACCTTTGGTTGACCTTCAGTGACCTCTGAAAGGTCAAAAAAGTTGATTTTTCAAATCGATTTTCTGGATTCAAATTTAGGTATATTTATTCACAAAAGACCTTCTGAGGTCTAAAAAAGTAAAATTTGCAGGGTCAAAGGTCAAGGTCATCAAACGAAATCACAAACTGTGTTTTCTAAGTTTCTCAAAATTGGAGACTACAAATCAATATTTTGAAATGAAAGTCAGACTATATATTCCTCTACTAAAGGTTTTACACATATTAGCAATTGATTATCTATTAAAATTTGGCTCCAGTTTTGAGATATTATAGCTCAAAAACTGAAAAAGGTCAAATTTCGGAATTTTTCAAGGTCAAATTTCAACTTGCATTAATTCGACCAAACCTTTTTTAAAAATCATCTACAAGTTGTCTGGAGTTCATATATGACCTTGTATTAGAGATTTGACCTTTGGCTGCCCTTTGAATGTTCAGAAACGAATATAGGGCCTCCGTAAGATTGCTTGCAATCTTAGATCGTTCGATCTCTAGTTAACACTTAAGATGACGGCTATGCCTGTAGCATAGAAACAAGAATAAGAATACATGCATAATATCTAGTTAACAACATTGATGAATTGATGAATTAAAAATGTTTGTATGATAATCAATTTCAAGAAATCAAATAAGTCATACCTTCATAATTTTGCTGAAATTATGAATTAATAGACTTATGAAGATAGACATAATATAATGTGACAAACCGGGATGAGGCCGGGTAAATTAAATTGAAATAAACATAGGTGAAAATGAATTTTAATACTGTCTTTTGACCTTATTTTACAGGATGAAAAAATACTTATTAATAATTTTCTCATGCATGTCTGTTCCCTCATGCATGTACAATGTACAATCATTTTGGAAAAGTAAGGTTGAACAGTTTCAGTGTCAATTTTGATACTCAGGATAAACTCAGGTTTCTAGCCAGGCCCGTAGCCAGGGGGGTTCGCGGGGTTCGAAACCCCCCTGGCCAAAAATTCTTTCAAAATCATGCAGTTTTTCACCATTTTGAGCACTTCTCAAGTGATTTTAGCCATATTTGGGCCAGAATTGTCAAATGTGAACCCCCCTGGAAATTTTTGAAAACTGAACCCCCCCCCCCCCCCCCCCCCCCCTTGGCAAATCCTGGCTACGGGCCTGCTAGTAGCTATGTACAGTGTCACATGTTCCCCAAGTGTGCATGTCCTTAATTAGATAACCTCTTTTCATTACCTCATACTAATCAGAATATATTCTTTTCTAGAAACCCCTTCGAGTGACAGTATGTCCTCAACCAATGAGGAGACACCGATCAACAGAGAAAAGCGACTCAAAGGAGAAAATCCATCCAGTGATGTTGCTTCTACATATTTTGACCAGAAAATTGAAATCCCAGATGCTGATGTGGTATGTGATATTAGAAATATTCTGAAAATATGGATCATTGGGAACAACCCTTTTAATGAAAAACAAGAATAATTCCAATAAATTTATCATCAGTTTTTTTCCATGTGAGATCACATGGTCACCACAGATATTTTGTGTCCAGTTCCTGTCACTATATTTTTTTACTTTCCAGTATTCTAGATTCAGCTTCAAGAAACTATGGGCATTCACAGGTCCAGGATTCCTGATGAGTATAGCCTACCTTGACCCTGGTAACATAGAGTCTGATCTGCAGTCTGGGGCAAAGGCTAAGTTTAAGGTTAGTTTCTATGGTAACATAGATATACTCCTTTTGCCTTTTCAGAACAATGGCATTTAGTCAACTTTTAATGAAATAACTTACCATACATGAATTACTTTCCATGAAAAAGACATGGATAATTTGATTGGGCCACATCTATCAATAATGTTGATGAAAGTTTCATTAGCTAAACAAAGGAAGGAACCCCTGCTTAAGGTATCCAGTTACTCTTTTTCAATGTGATTATAAAAACACATGATCTGCTCTGTCTTCATTCATAAGGAGGTACTTGATATACTAATTTGCTGTAAACATGTTTCCACCACTGTTGTCATGTCACAAGTGATGACATATTGTTATAGTCTCCAACTTTTTCATGGCGGCAGCCAATGGTGACATTCACCATTCCGTGCCTGTATTAACAATTGGCAAGTGGTGACATTTTGCATGTTAATGCCTTGTTATGTTTGTTTCAGTTGCTATGGATATTACTAGCTGCCCACATTCTTGGGCTGTTAATGCAAAGACTGGCTGCCAGGTTGGGTGTTGTCACAGGCTTGCATCTCGCTGAGGTGTGCAATAGACGATACCCTAAAATACCCAGGATTTTGCTCTGGCTTATGGTAGAAATTGCCATCATAGGTATGTCACTTTGAAGGCTCCCCAGAACCTTCTCAATTTAACTCCACATGAGGTGAACTTGATGACGGAACTGGATTCAACCCCCTCACATGTATACAGGCTCTAGTTTACAAATTAATGAAAAGTTAGAAAACAAAGAAAATATTTTATTCCCTATCTTCTCTTAATTGCATTTGTAAATCACACATCGACAATATTGATTAATAGATTGCTGGAACTGACACTGGAACTTTTCATGGTCCTTCATGGAAAAAGGTCAAATAAACATAAAGGCCCAATTTGCATAATTTCAGTGTTTTTGGGCAAAATAAAGACTTTTATTTGAATTTTATAGAATGCCCAATGTATTGATAAGAACCTTATCTTTCATTTGACACCAACAACAGCTCAAACGGACCAAATCAAAGCTTACAATAATTGATCAATATCAAATATTTTCGATCTGCTTTATATATCATTAGTTTTCATCAATGTCATTGAAAGGTGGTGTATTACATGACACATTCAGTTTATAGAAGTGTCGCCATCTTTTAAATCAAAAGTAATTTAAAACATGCACTTTGTTTAGCATGTGCCTGCTCTACTAATGATCTCTGAACTTCAAATGCTTTTTTCTGTGTGAGTTATGTTTTTCTTGGTTCAACATTAAAGCAAATCAAACTTTGTTTCATATTTGAGCAAGTGACTGTGAGTAACTTGTTTCAAGGATTATTTTTTTCTTTTTATATAAAATAAGTATAGTGGGCCTTTAATATTCAGTCCATTTAATTGTTATATCTCAGATCAATAAGATCATGGAATATACAAATTAAACTCTGACTCTAAATTATATTTTTATTATTGCAAGAATCCAAACTTTGTTCTACTACTTTGATTTGATAATTTATTAGTGATAAAAAGTTGAATGCCTAAATGTTAATTTTTAGGTTCTGACATGCAGGAAGTTATAGGGACTGCTATTGCCTTTTACCTGCTGTCCAATGGAACGTAAGTTTACTTCACCCCCGGTCAAAGTTATTTTTGTTACAAAAGTCCCGAAATGTTTAGTTGGTTTTTAAAAAAAAAACTGTGTTAACTCGGATTACCATGATACTAAACATCTCGTATTAGAAATGAATATCCCAGAAAAGAAATGCATATCAGTATATTTTATTTGACTTGATGAAACAGATATACACATTTGATATTACAGAATCCCACTGTACGGAGGGGTGTTGATCACCATAGCAGACACCTTCACATTTCTGTTGTTGGATAAATACGGCCTTAGGAAGTTGGAAGCTTTCTTTGGGGTCCTCATCAGCATAATGGCAATCACATTTGGTTATCAGGTAAACGCATTTATGTTGCAACACATTGAAGGGAAGGAATATAGGCATGGAAGGGAAAGAATAAGGGAAATTATAAACAATGAATACTACAAATTGCCTGATTATTTCAATATGAAAGAGAAACGCCTTAGGCATTCTTGTATAAAGTACCCTCTCTGAAGATTTTCTATATTTTCTTTTTGTAAATCAACAATGGTCTGGTTTCCATGTGTATTTCAAGCTATTTATTTATGCTTTTTATTACAATTACAGTATGGTGTATCTGCCCCTAACCAAGGAGAACTGCTGAAAGGGATGTTTTTCCCATATTGTGAAGGCTGTGGTTCAAAGGAACTGCTTCAAGCAGTTGGAATCATAGGAGCTGTAATCATGCCACATAATATATATCTACATTCTGCTCTTGTTAAGGTAAGAGTCCTGACTTAACATTGATTGACTGACCAGTGTTGTAGCTTCATTAGCCTATTTAGCTTCAATGGGCATATTTTAAGCTAGGTTGCTCTTTTTAGGTTAGGCAACATGATCAGTTGGGGACATACACCAGTTTTATAATCATGTAGTTAAGTCTCCTTTTGTATGGATAGTGTAATGCAGTCTTGTGTTTGGTAGTCTGTGTGTAGAAGTCTGTGTTCAGTGATCGGTGGTTGGCATCTGTAACAAATGGCAGGTTGTGACATTTTGCATGTTAATGCCTTATTATCTTTGAAGCAACTTGAATTTCCTGGAAATGAGGATCCACACTCATAAACTTTATTTGAATTTAGTCAGATTTTAAATGATAAGGAACCTTACATAATCGATAGGGGTGAGACGACAACCCGATGAGTCGAGGACTCGCGGGTTTGGGGCTTCGAGTCGAGTCGAATCGAGTCGAAGTTGATGAATCGAATCATTTTCGAGTTGAGAAAAAAATTCGAAAAAATAAAAAAATTCAGAAAAATACTGTCAATATGCATGCTTTTACTCGATATTGCGTTGAATATATAAGTTTCAATGACTTGGATATGCTTGTATTAAGGATGCAGTACCAGGTCAGCGTAGAAAAAGTTCCAGGCATTAGATTTTGCTCATATTTTTTACAATGTATCACTATGATGTTATCATCATCCAAGTGCAATATGAAGAGGATTGACCGTCTGGTAATTACAAAATAAAAAAATTATTTTACCCACCCAAAATGAATCTTTTTACTTTTTTGAGTTTTCAATAGAGCTGGCACCTTTCGAGCCCTGGTTTTCGTATCCACTAATTGTGACTCAAGAACAAGTTTTCCCATAAAAGTGAAAGGGATAAAATATGCTTGATAAAATGTTTGCAATTTAATTCTTTTCTTGAAACACCATTATCGAAATAAACTATAATTTTTGAATAAGACTAAATGCGAAAATGACGTTCTTGGGAGCTAGCTTTCTCCAACCGGAAGTCAGACCTGCGCAAACAGACGTGAAAACCGACCCGGTACTGCATCCTTAAATTATTAAATTGTATGTACACATAAATGAAAGAATATATGTAATAAAATCAGAATAAACTTACGACGAATTGTGTTTGTTTATATTTCCGGCTTTCCACCATTGACGCATTAAAAATACGAACGGTCAAAAGCGATGTTGTTCGCCTTTCGCGCGACTCGAAACGGATTCGAAACTCGAATCGTCATTTTCTGACTCGAATCGGATTCGACTCGAATCGGATTTTTTCGACTCGACTCACCCCTAATAATCGACATGGCACATTGTGTGGTGTATTTTCTTGTGGCCAGCCTATAATGGCAATTAAGTGATCAGTAGCTAAAATGTATCAATTTAGAACTATAGATAAAGTTTTTGTCACATACAAGTTCCCCATTTAGAATAACAAAGATGTGTTGTTTTATTTCAGTCACGTGACATAAACAGAAACAACAAAGGAGAGGTCCGTGAGGCAAATAAATATTACTTTATTGAGGCAACAATTGCATTATTTGTATCATTCCTCATCAATCTGTTTGTGGTTGCTGTCTTCGCTGAGGGATTCTATGGCAAGTCTAGTCAAGATATTGTAAGTACATTGAAAAGTAAAACTCTTACAGCAGCAAAATCTATATATTCACGAAGGAATAGGACTTTTGCTTTAGAGAGAATTCTCAATGACCATTTAATTCAAAATGGCGTCCATATTTTACAAGATTGTAGTTTGTGAAGATGAATATCATTGTTATAAGACTAAAATCCAAGTAAGTTTTGATCTGATGGTGATCTGATTATAATTTCCTAGGTGCCAGTAGGTAGTTATCAACCACCAGGTGGCTAATTCAGGTTAGATTCCATGGCAAACCATGGCAGCCATAGAAATTTAAGTTCCCCTAAAGTTGTATAATAAATTGATCTTATGGATCAATTTTCATCCAACCTTGTTGAATTTAATGATTATAAAATTGACACGACAAGGAAGGATGTGAGGCCAAAATAAATTTTCATGAATTGAAACAATTTTCATCAAGATCATGATGATGATGACAATAACTTGCTAGATCTGATTCGCCTAGAAATCATATTTAAAACCATATTTCTAGATGCAATTTTGTATGTTAATCTCAAATATGATATCATTTTGACTAAGTTTTAAATATTAAATGTTAAAAATCAAAATACTTTCAACTTGTATCTCGTCTCTTGTAAGGTATAGTTTTAAGCCTGTAAATAGATTTTTTGTATTTCAGTTTCAAGGCTGCTTAAAGCACAATAACCCACATGCACAGGTTTTCAATGTAAGTACAATATATAATAATTATTACAGTTTATTTTATATAATCACAATGTAACAATTTTTAAACCCGAGCATTCTTTCTTTACCATTGCCACTGTACCTTCAATTTGGCAATGTTATAGCATTTTATTGAGATTTTGAATTGTGCATGAAGTAAAAAGAGATAAATGAGTTTTTTGAGGAAATATACACACCTGCTATTGAATGACAATTAGACTTATCTTTACTTTACTTGTACATTTATTTCAGCAAACTGGTGAAGTTGAAGTTGATCTTTTCAGAGGGGTAAGTCGTCATTATCTTCTTGATAAGTCCAGACTCTTGCGTCTATATTTTTACAATTTGTTCACATTTGTAACATTTTTTTACTTTCATTTGAATTTCACAGATGAACATCCAAGATTTTACTGTGTTGAAGATAAAATTTCAGGTGTCTTTATTCATCATTTTTAATAGTTTAATGTGTGTTGTGTCTTTTTGAATAATTGTAATTAACTGAGTGATCAATTGGAAAATATCTGTTACTTTGACATTTTAGGGTGTCTTCCTTGGCTGTTATTTTGGGCCAGCATCTATGTATATATGGGCGATAGGTATCCTTGCTGCAGGTCAGAGTTCAACTATGACTGGAACCTACGCTGGCCAGTTTGTTATGGAGGTATACGATTCATTGAATATTTATACTTTAACTAGTTATTACAATATTTTGATCTATTATGCTTTAAACATGCAGGAAATCTACCTGACAGCTTTAAAGCGACTCTTAATTCAAAATGGCTGCTCAATTCAAAATGGCAGCTTAATCCTAATATGCTGCCATTCCCAGTAATATTTTGATTATGACTTAAATGCTTTGAGCCAACTCTAGTCTAAAAAATATTATTTAACTGATATCTAAATGTTTAATTTCATTACAAATGGCAAATTCGTGATGGGATTTGCTGCTTCATCTAAATCACAAATACGACAAGTGACATACATGTAAACTGCAATCATTTTATACATCATATTGCATATTGCAGGGTTTCCTTGATCTAAAATGGAAGCGATGGCAGAGAGTTCTCCTTACAAGATCCATAGCAATATTACCAACCATCTTTATTGCTGCATACAAAGGTGTATCAGATCTGACAGGCATGAATGACTTGCTCAACGTACTCATGAGCCTCCAGCTCCCATTTGCACTTATTCCAATACTAACATTCACAAGCCATTTTAGTGTCATGAAAGAATTCAAAAATAACTGGTAAGTTTCATGTTTTACTTTTATTTGTTATAAATGTATAGTTTTTGATCATATCTAAAGTGAATGCTGCCTCATAGACAGTGTCCACTCTATTTAAGCAGATAAAAATATATTCCCTTTCTTATTGCCAGAGTTTTAGGGAGATAAGTTGGTGAGATATATCCTGTATCCTGATTTTGAGCTTATCCAAAACCTCCATATCTCCTGCCATTTCTCCATCTCGCTCAGGATAAACCCCATATCCAAAACCTCTCAGTACATAACTCCAATTTACATGAATATATAGGTGTCTCAACTAAGTATTAATTGTGTATCTATCTACTGTACATGTGCTACTCAATATATATATACATATAAAATACTCAATATTTCAAATTAATCTCCACTTGATTTGTATTAACTATAGATTCTTGCGCTCATGCATATTAGGTCTGGATTCTTATAATGATAGCTACTGGCACAGAAAAACTCATTGTTTATAGTGTCCATACAACATAAGTCACTTCCTGGACATTGCTTGCCCTTTGAACGACATATCATGGTGCCAACTGGTCGGATCTTCGTCCTTCAAAATAAAAAAGGACAATATGAACATATTTTAAATGTAAAGTTTCTTTTGATTCAATAGTGGTCACATTTTATTTTTTCAGATATTTGTACTTTACACCAATGAAACAGTGTCATCTCTTTTTAATTTAAATAAATGAAGTAGGGCACAAATGTTACTGTCCCATCCGGAGTCAAGGCACTGTCTTAGGCCATTTCACTTATACCTAATTGAACATGGTTTTCAATGTCCAATTTTCATACAATACTGCACTTCACTACACTATACTATACTCATACATACCCTATACTTGCTTGAAGGCAAGTACTGGCTTCACCCCTTGGGAGGCAATACTTAACATCAGTCTTTGAGTCTTTGCAACATAGTTCATCAGGATTGCATCCTTCTATATGAGGCCAACACTTTGAAGCAGAAGTAAACCTTGAAGTTCTGAAAAAAGAAATAACTAATGAAAAATATGTTTGTACATGTATACTACAGTTATTCTACCTGCTCCGCCTTAGCGCTACTCGCTTTGCTATGACAACTGCAGAATTAACAAATCAGTATTTCCTGAACACCCTGTATTACTCTAACAATACTATATACTGTTTTTAGGGAAAGGTAGTCTGTTCAAAACATCTTTTGCCATCTGTTTTTTTACATTTTCCTGTCCCTACATATGACACATAGTCATATTTATTACTTTTAAGGAAGAACTTCAGTGGCGAAAAAATGTAGGTGAAAGATAACAAATTCCACAATTGAGATTCTCTTTTTCAAAAAAATAGTGATCATTCATGAAATGAAAATTGTTTAGGAAATATTTATGAAAATTCACTGTCCGGATCTTGAGAAAAAAAAAACTTTGAATATTATGAATCAGTGGGGAAATATTATTATTCCATTGTATATATAAGGGTTATGTACTGGGAGGTTTTGGATACAGGGTTTATCCCAAGGGAAATATGTATATCTCAAGAGGAACCGCAGGGACCGAGGGAGATACACATATTTCCTGCTGTATCCAAAACCGACCGTACATAACTGGTGTATCTCATACTTGAGTGGGTTTGGGGTAGATATAACCTTTACCACCTTTTTTAAATGACAAGATAGGCCTATACTGTAAAAGCACAATTTATATTTAACATTTCCATAATATTCCTTCAGGTCAATACAATAGAATTGTAACATTTAAACTTTTTGAAAAATTTTTAACTTCTGAAATTTAAATTTTTAAACTTTTGAAAAAATTCCCGGGAGCAGGATGGATATATTATATCTGCCCGCATTTGGCCTAGAGCGGGACATATACAATATGTCCTGCCCGCTCCTCAGATATGATATATATTCCCGGGTGATATCTACCCCAAACCCACTCAAGTATGAAATACATAATGATATTAAAGTCAATGATTAAACATACAGTCCTTGTGAAAAAGGCACAACACATCCCACTGCCAGTAACAGGATTGTTACAAATGCCACCATGTTGTCTGGAGAGTCACAATAAGACTAAGATGAACCTAGAAACAACAAACAAAATAGTAATATATAAATAGTTAAGCATGGTACAGTTTTCTAAATTGTGAGAACGTAAAAGCTTTGAATTGCAGAGTTATGACTGCTATAGGCCAATTGTGCAGTGCATGACAGGAATCTCCGTATATCTCTAAGTAGATTTCTGATACTAAAATATTATTTTTCCCAGTACAATTATATCAAGTTTACTAACTACTTAGTTACATTTTTCTTTCATCTCTTATAACACGTTATGATTAAACCTTATATGTATATGATCAAAGAAATATATAGTTTATATTGTTTGTCCAGTGAACATCTTAAATGAGTTTCAATGATTTCACCCCTTCAGCTTCAAATATAAATACGGTATAGATATTAGACCTAAGTCAACCTGACACCATGTCACTCATTAACTGCACCAGATTCTTGACTCCATGACTGTTTTCTGCGAAACTTCTCCTTTATCCACTTTTTGCATTAATATAAGCGAAATATAGCTAGTTGTAAATGGTAAAATCACTTACTTCCGAATCTCAAGATAATGAAGGAAAACAATAATACTTACCTTATATATTCATAGCTAGTGTCATGTTTTTAAATCATTTGTAATATAATTTTGAAGTTCTGACTAAATAAATAATATTAGATACCTTCATAATCCCTTCATAATCCTTTAGTTCTATTCTAATGCATGATTGGCTGCCAATATTTTCTGAAATTCGATACAATGCAAAGAAAATTAATTTGTCAACACAGAGATGTTATTTGCAATAAAATAAATTCTGGCAAAACAATTGCCGAAGTTTAATGACCTGATTAGTAGATAAACTTCCGGAATGCACAGATCAAAATATATCAGCACAGATTGACATTTACATGTATTTTCAAAGTAAACATGGTGCAGACTACATGTACGTTGTCAGTTAAATTGTGTTTGGCAATTTTGAGTAGGCCCTTTAAAATGTCATTGAAGTTTGAAGGTCATGTAGATCTATAATAGACTTTGTAGAATAACTGGTAAACAATTGACCATTTGACCTTCTTGCCTCCAAGATAGCCAAAACATGCCACCCAGACAAGCATGAAGCCATCTCCTTTTGATTTTTATGTCACCACCAGAAGTGGTGACATATTGTTATGGTCTCCATTTTTGAGATGGCGGTAGGTGGTTGGCGTTGGGTATCTGGCCTCTGTAACAAATTCTAAAATCTTCCAATGACTTAACAAATATAGTTTAGACTGACTTCAAATTTTTCCAAAATCATCTACAAATTTTCAGTAGTTCAAATCTGACTTTAGATTTGAGATTTGACCTTCAAGGACCTTCTCAATGTCAAAAAGGTCGAAAAGGTTATTTTTCAACTTGTTACAAATTGACCAAATTCTTTCTAAAATCATCAACAAGTTCTCAGAAGTTAAAATCTGACTTTAGATTTGACCTTTCTTTATAATGACCCTCTCAAAGTAAAAAAAACATCAAAAAGGTATTTTTCAACTTGCTTCAAATTGATCAATTTTTATTCAAAATCATCTACAAGTTCTCAAAATTTCAAATCTGACTTAAGATTTCAATCTTCATTGTGTATTTCATGCCATCAGAGATAGTGACAATACTCCTGACTATAGCTGTCCTAGCCATTAACATGAAATTTGCTGCTGTGTATGTACAAGACATGCCATTCTCTGCACTCCCATTGTAAATCTTCATTGTGTATTTCAGGCCATCAAAGATAGTGACAATACTTTTGACTATAGCTGTCCTAGCCATTAACATGAACTTTGCTGCTGTCCATGTACAAGACATGCCATTCTCTGCACTCCCATTGTAAATCTCCATTGTGTATTTCAGGCCATCAAAGATAGTGACAATACTCCTGACGCTTCCTAGTCAACTCGTACCCAAGACAACTCGTACCCAAGACAACTGGTACCCAAGACAACTCGTACCCAAGATTATTTTCAGTATTATGGGTGCATATTAGGGAAAAATTGAGTTTGTAATGCTTTCATGTTATGATGTGAATCAAATAAGCCTCAATATTTTTGGGGAATTTAGAAGACATTTTTTCTCAATGGACCAGTAAAGCATTTTTTTTATTAAATAAAAGAAGTGCATGAAGCGCTTGTTCTCAACATTTTTTTGTCAAACATATATATAAATAAATATAATTACAACATGAGATCTGACACTTGTTCCAAACACTCATAAACATACAATATTTTGAAAAATGATTATGAATATGTGGAATAAACATATGTCTATTCACTCCAACATCCCGAATCTGTGACCAATATAAAATTATAGTCAATATAAATTGACACCCAGTTCAAAATGTCACAAAATTAAATCAATTTCTTCCGAAAATTCTTCTTCAAACTTTAAACTATTCTGAACAGTATGTTACAATTATAATATGTATATATCTATTCACATTCCCAGTCCAACGCTTGATTCAAAACAAAATATATACTTGGGTACGAGTTGTCTTGGGTACCAGTTGTCTTGGGTACGACTTGTCTTGGGTACGAGTTGACCAGTTACCCTCCTGACTATAGCTGTCCTAGCCATTAACATGAACTTTGCTGCTGTGTATGTACAAGACATGTTATTCTCTGCACTCCCATTGTAAATCTCCATTGTGTATTTCAGGCCATCAAAGATAGTGACAATACTCTTGACTATAGCTGTCCTAGCCATTAATATGTACTTTGCTGCTGTGTATGTACAAGACATGCAATTCTCTGCACTCCCATTGTAAATCTCCATTGTGTATTTCAGGCCATCAAAGATAGTGGAGAGGTTAAGCTGACGATGTTTTTCATATCGAGCGCTCATAGTTTTATGCGCGCTTAGTCTACTTCAGATACTCTTTCAGCTTCAGAGTTTTGGGTTTAGAACGGGAGATTTGAAATTTGACGTTGGGTCAACGGGAACCATTTTACTCGTGTCTATTGAACACTATGCTGTCAATTTTGATTTTGATGCACAGTTGAATTCTTGCTGAACACAATGATGTATGTCATGCATGATTTAGCGCCAAAAATCTTACGAAACGAGCTCGTTTAAAATATGTATTAGAAAACCAGCTATAAAACCGCATCAATGACATACTATAGAATCATTACACGCTATGGTGTAGTCTAAACAAACACTGGATTTGAACGGCTATTTATATGAGAAGGCTACATGAATTTGTATATGGTCGAGTGATACGTACAGGTTCAGTTTCTATATGCAAAGCTTAACCTCTCCAGTGACAATACTCCTGACCATAGCTGTCCTAGCCATTAACATGAACTTTGCTGCTGTGTATGTACAAGATATGCCATTCTCTGCACTCCCATTGTAAATCTCCATTGTGTATTTCAGGCCATCAAAGATAGTGACAATACTCCTGACTGTAGCTGTCCTAGCCATTAACATGAACTTTGCTGCTGTGTATGTACAAGATATGCCATTCTCTGCACTCCCATTGTAAAACTTCATTGTGTATTTCAGGCCATCAAAGATAGTGACAATACTCCTGACTGTAGCTGTCCTAGCCATTAACATGAACTTTGCTGCTGTGCATGTACAAGACATGCCATTCTCTGCACTCCGATTGTAAATCTCCATTGTGTATTTCAGGCCATCAAAGATAGTGACAATACTCCTGACTATAGCTGTCCTAGCCATTAACATGTACTTTGCTGCTCTGCATGTACAAGATATGCCATTCTCTGCACTCCCATTGTAAATCTCCATTGTGTATTTCAGGCCATCAAAGATAGTGACAATACTCCTGACTGTAGCTGTCCTAGCCATTAAAGTAACTTTCTATCATTTCATCTAAAAATTAAAACCCTTGGAAATACTAAATATGGTTTGAGTGCCATATATAAAAATTTATTTTAGAAATATTGTGGATCAAAATGAAAAAAAACAAAAATAAAGAATAAAAACATATTCCACCCTTGGGATTTGAACCCAGATCTCTTGGAATAAAATTCTGGTAGAGCCCAATGCTCTAACCACTACACCACAGTGCCAGAGCTTTCTGAGGGAAGAAATTCTTTATGTATATAATTATGGACGAAAAAAGTCTTATTTACATGCTTAAATTTCTTAAAAATGATCAGCATTACTACTAATAATAACATTTTGCATGTCTGAGTAAGTATTTTGATGTACATTTAGGATAAATGTTGTTTTATTCAGTTTTCATTTTGGGTATGACTTCCTGTCAAAACAGTGTTAAAAATGCAGGGCTCAACAAAAATTTTCAATTAGAAAATGATATATATCCTTTGATCAGCTGTTTTTGGCACCTGAACTCATCCTACTAGAAAGGTAAGAGCATTTTCTTGAGACATATGGCTCGAAATCTCAAATTTCTCCTTCTAAGTCTTAGAAAGACACTTTAACATGTACTTTGCTGCTCTGCATGTACAAGATATGCCATTCTCTGCACTCCCATTGTAAATCTCCATTGTGTATTTCAGGCCATCAAAGATAGTGACAATACTTTTGACTATAGCTGTCCTAGCCATTAACATGAACTTTGCTGCTGTGTATGTACAAGACATGCCATTCTCTGCACTCCCATTGTAAATCTTCATTGTGTATTTCAGGCCATCAAAGATAGTGACAATACTTTTGACTATAGCTGTCCTAGCCATTAACATGAACTTTGCTGCTGTGCATGTACAAGACATGCCATTCTCTGCACTCCCATTGTAAATCTCCATTGTGTATTTCAGGCCATCAAAGATAGTGACAATACTCCTGACTATAGCTGCCCTAGCCATTAACATGAACTTTGCTGCTGTGTATGTACAAGGCATGCCATTCTCTGCAATCCCATTGTAAATCTCCATTGTGTATTTCAGGCCATCAAAGATAGTGACAATACTCCTGACTATAGCTGTCCTAGCCATTAACATGTACTTTGCTGCTGTGTATATACGTGACATGCCTGTGAAGCACTGGGCCCTGTATCTCTTCATTGCTATTGCACTTCTATTGTATCTACTCTTCATAGGATATTTAGTAAGTAATGTTTCACATTTCACCCGATCACCTATTATATATGGTTCCAATTTTGCAAATATAAGCCAGAAATGATATATAAATGCAAGTTGATATGTCTTCTAGTAGGTGAAGATGTTGGGCGTTACTCAGAACCACACGTAAATAGAGTTTGTCCAATGTGCAACTCACCTGACACCTTGACCCGTTCTATAAAATAATGTGAAATGCTTGAATATTAAGGGGTCCGATTCGACCATAATTATTGGCAAATCGGGAAATTATGTCAGCTTTGTTTGCACCCAGCTGCTTTGATGATTGTGTCCTGATAGCAAGGACGATATATCAGATGTACCAAGAGAGAATTAGATATGACTTTGATTTTTCTGTTCAATACTGAATTATTTATATACATGTGAAAACAAATGCCACTGTTAACCTAATAACATTACTTCAAATATATAGACAAATGTCAATGTAACGTAATAACATTACTACTAAAATATAGACATATGCCAATGTAACGTAATAACATTACTACTAAAATATAGACATATGCCAATGTTAACTTAATAACATTACTACTAAAATATAGACATATGCCAATGTTAACTTAATAACATTACTACTAAAGTTAACTTAATAACATTACTACTAAAATATAGACATATGCCAATGTTAACTTAATAACATTACTACTAAAATATAGACATATGTCAATGTTAACTTAATAGCATTACTACTAAAATATAGACATATGCCAATGTTATTTTAATAACATTACTACAAAAATATAGACATATGCCAATGTTAACTTAATAAACATTACTACTAAAATATAGACATATGCCAATGTTAACTTAATAACATTACTACTAAAATATAGCCATTACAGGTATTTATACAAAGATGTATGGAATATTTTTCTTCATACAGAATATTTGTACATGTATGATTGTATGTGTACAAACACATTGTTAGATTAGTAATTTTATTGGCAAATTATAGATAGTTTTAAACATGAATAGAAAGTGAAAATTATCCTGGTATGCTCAATCTGTTCTTACTCCTTCTCGCTCCACTCTTAATTGTTTGATACTTTGAACAAGGTATTCTATGGATACATCTGTTATGTATGGTTGGTTCTAGCATGGACGTATATTATATATGTCCATGGTTCTAGTTACAACTCAGGTTTATCCTTCAGGAAATATGTATTTCCCTTTCTCAGTCATGTGGTCCTGTAGGAGATATACACATATTCCCTTGGGATAAACTTAGTAGCTACAATCTCTCTGTACATGTAGATTCTTATATATCCAAATAAGGGCCCCCCAATAAGATTTGATGAATGTAGAGTATTCTAATAATAGTTTGAAGCATGTTATTAACTTGATGACAACACATAATTACCTTTTAGAAAGTGGCTCAGTCTCTTGTCTCCCCTTACAGTATGTCATATTCTCTGGTATCCCCCCCCAAGGTTCCATATGTAACTACTAGATGTGATACTATTCACTTTACAGACATGGGTGTGCCTAGTGACCCTGGGGGCAAGAAAGTTAGCTGTCTCTACGGTAAGTTATTCTTATGTGTTTTCCTAACAATGGTTACTTGTTGCTGAGTAAAATATCTCAGATATTCATATAGGCTAATATGCAGTGCATTGATCACTCTATTTAACTCTATGCATAGATACAGTAGACAGATCTATCACACACTACCTATGTCATATAGTTTAGCCTTTTTTATTCACTGTTGTAATTTTCAGACCACTTGCACTTAGCAAGATGCTGCCATCTATGTGCAATCTTAGAAAAGGAACATTTCAGAATTATTAAGTCATCTTTAACTTGAGAGCTTCTCTTACACTCTTTATATAAATTATAAATTCCTGAACCTTGTCAAGCCATTGGTCAGCAACATAAGTTTCTATACATGTTGGCTAGAACAATCAGAACATTTGTCTTGGCCTTGTTAGCATCTTAATGATTGGTAACACGTAGAACATTTAAACGATTGATTCTTTTGGTAAGAGAGTAATGTATATGTACTTCCTAGCCAATGAACTGTATTACTTATTCAAATCCACCACTGAGCTGTCCATCCATCAAATCAATGAATGCAAATCATGATTTAAATTATTATCTAATTAAGTAAATCATTCATAGTTGTTGTTTTTTATACAGTGCAATTTTGCTTTATTTGGAAATGGGGCTAAATAAGAAAAATGAATATGACTTTGTCAAGCTTCCTTGTGAAACATTCCCAATGTACATTACATATGATGATTAAGGCTTCAAATTGATTTTTGTAACTTATGTTATGTTGCATATCCCTTTCCCCTTGATATTAATTTTCGCTTAGCGTCAAGTATTAATTACTCTTATAAGATTTTATATTGATCCAAAGAAAAAGCATTCATGCATAAACTATTTAGTTAAGCATTATTCAATAGTTGATATTAGATCTTATATATAATATTTTTAGTTAAGCATTATTTGTATATTATAAGACTTATACTCTACTCCCTGTAAACACAAATTTTAAATTCACGAATTTTGAGAACAATTTTTTTTTGACGATTATTTTTCGCAATTTTTCCACAATTGTGATAAGTTTGAAAAATACTGGAAGTACGGTATAAGATCTGATATGTAAGATATAAGCTAAGCTGTGGTTTGTTATGTTACAGTGCTGTCCTGCAGCTTTAGCCATAAACTATGAGCTCCAATCAGACTCCAACGATATAGATACCCATCAGCTCACTGAACAAACAAGTCCTGAAAACTCTTCAGCTGAAACATCTTCCATAGACAATGGCCATATAGCCACACCTGACTTTAAAAATGATCCTCTGGAAAAGTATGGAAAATGATGGAATAAAATGAATAGTGAAATACTCTGGAGCAAATAGATTTTGATCTAAATATATAAATGTTTGCACATACATAATTTAGGGAATTTTAGTGCACTGACAAAAAGAACATACATGTATGTAGTATTAGACCATAACCTCCAGACAATTGAAATCACAGATGTGCTCTTCATAAAATTCATAGAACTCATATTTAGGTCCTCTGATGAAATATTATACTACTGATGTATTGTTTCTCATCTTTGAAGTCTGAGTATCCGAAAATGGTATTTATGTCATACATGTTTATTTTTATTCCCAAAGATTTTGATGGAGGCTTAATATGGCACATTTTCAAATCCACCGAATTCACCAAATTACAAACAAACTCATATTTAAGTTACTTGCTCTGTCACCTCATTTTGGAATCATTTGCGACAAGCCATGATTATCTTGATCATTATTTGGTTGAGAATTATCTATTTCATTCATTTCAGCATTTATGTACATTGTAGATAGGGTTAACAAATTATTTAATGGTTTCTTTATACAGCTGTTTTGCACATATATCACATGGACACAAACTGTTTTGATGTCCTTCTGTGTGCTTGTTTTCATTCCATTGAAATCTGTGATAAATTAAAGTGGTTATGTCTGTATGTATTGATTTATACCCAACATCACGCGGTACAAACTTCGACCGTTAATTTAAATTTTTGACCTACCAGGCCTTTCTGTTGGTACATTGCTTTATTGAAAGGAGTCGCTCGTTTTAGCAGCGTTTTGGTCCCCAGTTGTGAGAAGCCCTTCTCACAGCTGGGGACCCAAATGCCGCTGAAAGTAGGGACTCTGTATTGCAGAATAATGTACCAACAGAAAGGCATTTTTGTTATGCTTTGAATGGAACAAGTTTGAAGAAAAATGGTGCAGTATTAGACATGCAATCCTTGGTTTTCAAACACCTGGTAGGTCAAAAATTTAAATTAACGGTCGAAGTTTGTACCGCATGAACATGAACATATCACTAATATGATTTAGTAGGCTGTATTTTTGATGAGCCTAGAAGATGATGTGAACATATAAGTTATATTGTGGAGAAAATTGAGTTCAGGCCTGAATGAAAAAGACAGTGTTCCTTTAACCAGCTATAAATCATTTACATAGCTAGCTTCAATATTGCCAATATCCAAAGCAAAACAAATACCTAGGCCTTATATGGAAAATACTATGTACATTTTACATATTTTTAAGCATTATATATCATATATGTGCAATATGTATAAGGATTTTTGTATGTTGATGTATGAAGGAAGTTTGAATGCAGTATAAAATGTTGAAAATATAATTCCATAATAAATGCTATAATTCACCGCTTTCTGTCTGTAATGTGTGTGTACGTGTATGGGAGTCTATGTTTTAGTGCCATGGGGCCCTCTATCTATTACTACCTGAACAAAACTAGACATTACTAACCATCCACCATCCTTGAAATCTCAATAAAAATATATTTGAAAAGATTTATGTCTATCTTGAAACAATGGATAAGATTGTACAAACATTTCTGGAAGGGGGGTACATACTCGTACAAGCTGTGGGTGAAACACTGGGCGATGGGCGCCCTTATGTATATAAGCCATAAATGATGTTGCCTAAGATTTATTCTTTAGGTGCTTACCATATACTGAATTATCATGGCAGGTCATTGAGTCACAGACCACCCATTACCATAAAAGAAACGACTACATGTATCAGAAATATGGGTAGTGCTCAAGTTTAATGAATAGACTAATTATTTTTTGAGTATTCTTTGAAGGACCTTCTATATCAAATCTAGAACACTTGGTAACTTAGGTAATGTGGGTTGCTTGCTTTATGGTTTAAGAAACGCACATCAGTGCCTGACAGCAAATACTGTATACATTGCAGTATAAAGGTTTTCATTAATATTTAAAATGTAAAATAGGTACCACTGGTATGTTATTGTGTTCTGACAAATTTACACCTGGATAATGCTTTCACTTTATAGTGTTCTATTATACTATTTTGCAAGATTGATAGCACTATGACTAGGGGAAGGTCATGGTGACTTTATTATTGCATATATACTGATTCTCACTGGTAGCAGGGCAAGATGTGTCTGATTCCAGCCATCAGAAAAAGCATTTCATCTAATTGCAATGCATTGAATAATCAACCATGCATCCACTCTAAAGCACCCTGTCTATTTATAGATTCTCGTGAAACTGATGACTTTCATTGTTCAGTGAAAATCTATAAATAGTATCATAGGGAATAACAAGCCAGGTGCTTTTGCAGGATTTAATGGTTAGTGCTGAAGGATTTAAACCCAGGACTCATGCTTTGTAGGATGATTCAACAATGCATAACTTGTGTTGCATCGATGCAAAGTCTAGGAAACAAACCACCATCACTGTTCCACAGCTGGATGACTATAACTGCAGTTAGCTTCATTCAAGATGGTTGCCGAGATTCTTTGGTTTTGGATAAACTTCCTATTTCAGCTAAACTAAGCTGAATCTTGATTCCTAAAGTTTCGCCGTGCAAATTGATAAAACTAAGATTGTATTCAACCACAAATGAATGCTCAGTCACCTGCAATATTAGAGAATTTAAAAAAAACTAAGAATGGCTCTAAATGAAGTTGATGATCCACGTCATCATTACATCATCATCGACTTCAGTTAGAGTAATTCTAAGTGAAGCCATTTTCTTCAAAATTCTCTAATATCGCGGTTGTTAGAGAATCAAGATTCAACTTAGTTTAGCTGAAATGGGAGGCTTATCGAAAAAGAAAGAGTTTCGGCAACCATCTTGAATGAAGCTAACTGCAGTTAGAGTCATCCAGCTGTGGAACAGTGTAAATCATTCACAATTCATTGTGTCATGTGTTTTTTTTACACATTGCAAAATAATTTATACAGTATCACTTAAAGAATGATTTTTTCCTATGGAACTCCTCTGTAAGTCAGTCAGACCATCCATCCATCTGTATAAGATGTAGTTTCCAAAATTTAAAAAGATTTTAATAATCTAGTAGCTTTATTTTCTGTGCAATATGTATGGAAGCTTGCAGAAATTGCTTTGCTTAAGTTCTGTTGAGCTTGATAGAAATGATGGGGCCAAACCTAAAAAATTATACCATGAATATGCTTTATAGAAATGAAATAAAATAAACCTAATTTATAACTGTTTTATAATGATTTCATACACATGCATTGGTTGGTCAGTTGATTTACATGTAGATGAGGCTGTGTGATGTCATAGATAAGTAGCACATCAGTTCTCAGATTGTTTCCCTTTAGGATAAGGCTCTCATCTCATTTCCATCCTTTTGCCAAACACCCAATCTCTATTATCTCTATTGATTGGCTATGGTTTTTAGTACAGATACAGGATGAACTCTCACTCCCTTCTTTCCTTCCATTTATTTTCCACCACACCTCATCCCCTACTCATTGCTTCAACTTTGATTCGTGATTGATGGCTTGCTGGGTACACCCTGGGAGCTCATAGCCTAAAGTATTGATTGCCTCAGTATTGATTTTGGGTTATCTGGAAGGACAACTGCAGGTGTACTTGACAAACTCTGTTACTTGTTTTTGATTTCTTTGGCAGCCATTCTGCATCTTTCAAACATATTCGGCTCTAAAAATGTGACTATTGTTCTTCTCAAATGTATAGATTATTGAGTCAGCTTTCTTAAAATTACATTACTATATAAAGCTCAGAAGTTACTAATTGAATCTATTATCAATATTATCTGTTACGCTTGGTTCTCTTTCAATTGTATTTTCATTTTTTTTTCAATTTATTTCATTTTCCTTGATATTGATATAAATACAAAAGTATGCCTTTGTTAACTTAATAACACTATCGGCATAGTAAATTGTATTGTATTTTCGGCATTGTATTTTCATGATATAAATATTTCATTAATTTTAGTGCTGTGATACATTTGTACCTGGAGAACGTCATAGTTTATTGCGTCTGTCTGGGGATACACTGGAAGGCATTGACTTTGAGACTGAAACCATTAATACACAGCCACTCATAAGCACAGCCAGTTCATACTTGATAGAGGAAGTTACAGATGCTGAGCATCATAAAGACTATGACACAGACAATGCTATAGTTGTACAAGAACACATCCATTAAATCACCAAGAATTCATTTTGAGTGCTGAGGTTGAATTTGTTGATAATACATTTTCTTAGAAAAGCACCACTGTTCGAATCTCTGAACTAGTTTGGTACCTAGACATAGAGATCAACATTTCCTGGAATTACACTAAAGTTTCTAATTCGTTTTGGGATTACATGTACTTTTACATCAATGATCTCTCATTTTTTCATTTCAATGATTTTGGAAATGAGCCTCCTTATGAAATCAGCGCAAGTTCTTCGTTCATCGACACCATTGGCTATCTCTTGAAAGCCCATGGCGACACTAATCTATTTTTATAATTAAATACAACTTGTATGATATTAAAAGAGCGAATGGCTAAAGACACCCCTGGGGTCATTTAACATTTTTTGAAAAATGCAATGTCGTTAATATCCTTGATATCTAGGATCAAATCGGAGATAAATATTACAAGAAATAGCAATAAAAAACATTCAAGGTTACTGATATAGGTATATTTTGGTTGATTTGGGAGGTATGTATCAATTCCTTTGAAATTTTTTATCAGTCTCAGAAAATGTCTCCAGAAAGTATAAATCCAACTTGGCAGATGTCCCATTGTTCAATTGTGTCACTCTATACACTCATTGGATTAATATTTTGTACACATAAATAGTCATATTTCAAAAGTCAGTGAGTAGGGTTAAGTTATGTTTGCAATTGTGTTGATCTACTTATTTTTAGAGGGAGGAAAGTCATGATAAACTCTTGCTTTGTTCATATAATGCCTGGTTCTTACCTAGAAAGTTATATGTAGTACGGGAATAGTGTACTTCTAAGGTACTTCTTGAGATATGTAAAAATCTAGGTAAGGACCAGGCGTTGTGCAAAAATGGAACTTTTATGCAATTTTCAGCATGAAATAAAATGTCAGCCATTTTGAAATTTCCTTAGAATGATTGTGACAATTGTGTTTTATATAATCAAGTATATTTTCTTATTTCATATAATCATTTCATGAACTAATATCTATATGCTTGCACTGAAGCCTGCCCTCTAGAGAAGCATATATTTTACCATGGCTCTAAACAACATAATAACATGTAATTCCATTCTATGCATTCATATTAATGTACATGCAAAATTGAGATGATTGTTGTACAATCATTTAATCTTCATGTGACCGGCGTCATTTTTGTCAATGACTAGTTTTTTTTATATTATCAATGTTCACTGGCTTATCATACTAAAGTTCCTATTTAGAAGATTAGTTCAGCTTTATTGTGCAGAAGAAACACAATTGATCTCAATGAAGTACAGGGTGGTCAAAAAAACAGAAACCCTGCATTTTCCTCATATCTTTGTCATTATAAAATAAATTACTCCCTGATGCTTCACACATTTGTAAAGTATTCAATTTCCTACCACTCTTTCATATTTCATGACCATCAGACAAATAGTCATAATTTTACAGCACTTTGAACAACATGCTTCAAGTTTGGCCATCGTCGCGCTGGAGGCAAACCTGCACAGCTGTCAATGACCAGAATGCATTTCTCAGCAGGTATGGCCTGAATGATACAGATGATTTCGCTTTTGCGGTCTGCAATTGCCCTGGGGTGATTATTATACACTCTATCTCTGCCATATCCCCATAGGTTGGGACATTTTGGACATGTGCAGGTTAGTCTTCAGCGCAATAGTGGCCACCGAGAATGTTCTTTAAAGTGCCGTAACACCACCTGACTATTAATCAGATGGTCATGAAATATGGTAGGCTGGTATGAAATTGAGTGATGTACAAATGTGCAAAGTTATTTCTTAAAATAACAAAGATATTAGGAAAATGATGTAAGGGTTTCCAGTTTTTTTGAACACCCTATAAAGGAGATCACTATTCAATATTTTTTGCATTTTTGACTTGTTATATTTTGTGTTTTCGAATGTTGCCCGTTATGCTATGTCACCGTTATGTAAGATAATACCGATAGGATCAATTAAAAAAGTCTTAACGACTATAAAAAATGATTATTTTGTTAATAAATAGAGACAGTGACAATAATGATGTGAAAAGAGTGATTTTCCTTCAACAGGCCATTTTATACAGGTTATTTTTTATTTTGAAATATAAAGGTCAGAATAACCTAATTTTTGGATTTGGCTATCAAACAAAGTCCCCTCTGATATCCTGTACAATTTCTTCTAAATATCT